CAATTAGGTCCATCATTGGTGAAACTATTAATGAAAATTACATTAATTTTTTTATTATTTTATGAAATCAAACTCCTCATGAACCAGTTTGACTTTCTTTCTGGTAAGGGATTTAATGATGATATCCATGTCATCAAACAAGAAATTACTTAGATTTCTAATTGGAAACTGTATATCAGATTTGTCGACATCAGATCATCATATAAGAACGTAAATAGAGAATTCCTCTTTTCATCGATTAGAATCAGCCTGCCTTCCAATTTCCGAATCCATTGAATGCATCCATCTACAGCAGCTTACATATCTGAGGAGGACCCCAGCATGAAAACATTTTAAAGCTCATATTGAATCCGACAAGGAGGAAGTTTGAACTTCAGTCGGTTAGGCTTTTCATTGACTTGACACTGCGAATTTACAAGCACAGATATCATGAAAAGTGAACTGACCATTTAAGCATTCCATACCACATCTTAAATGAGTAAGAAGACAAAAACCCTGCTTTCCCTGCCGTGCTCAATATACTGATGACAAGGTGGGTGGAGGTTATGCTGGTGACATAGTTGGGATAAAAGGATCTTGAACAGAAAATCAATATCCTCTACCAAATGTTCCAAAAAATAGTTAAACCTTTCCAAAACAGAAACTGTAATCTGGAATTGGTTTAAAAGACATGGATAAAACACACATAAAATCCCGCATTAAAATTCCGGATGTGGAATTAGTAAATATTATGCACTTCAGATATGTCTTCGTGAAAAACAAAAGAATAGGAAGTTGAAGAAAGAATATGATTCGCCAAATGTAGTTTTGCCCAGCACCGTAAGTGGCTACAAAACCAAAACCTCAAACTGAGAACTTGAGTCATGTTCTTAAATAGCCTCGTTAGATCGAGATATTCATATGGATGACAAACATGGCGTCCAAACCACCCAGAATTATCTAAACCCTCAGTTTTCTAAGATCAATGGTGAAAAAAGACCAGCATCTCTTGGCAGTATATGCTTCCAGGCCCTCTAGATTGACATACAAAAAATGTACAAACTCGCAAAATCTTCATGAATTGAAGACTACCAACAGCAACAAATAAAATGGTTATATATGTAATCCGAAGAAAAATAACAACATAATAAACATATTTGTTATTCCACACAACTTCAAACAAAAGCTTAGGACGGAAATCTCTATCAATACTGAAAAAAAACGATAACAGTTATCGGTCTTGAAAAACGTATTTTCCTGAAAAAATCTTTTAAAAGAATGATTTCATAAATTTCAAATGAAAACTGTATTAGATGCTCAGTCCATGAATATCAAATGTTTCCTTGGAGTGGAAATGGCTGATATTAACATACAACGTTAAGTTTAGTTATATATTCAGCATTAAAAAAATATGATTTTTATCCTTGAAATGAACGCCGTTTCCACATATGATAAATAATTCTGCTTTTTAAATTATTAAAAGTAGATAACTGCAAAAGATTCGGTAAAATGAGAATCCTGTGGATGATACCATCTGGAATGTGGCCTAATCATTATCATTTTCATTATTAATTTCCGATCGCTATGTTTACGTCATTGATATCTGTGCTCACGTCATTGAAATCTGTACAACGTCATTGATATCTTCATATAATCGGTTTTAAATAATTAAATATTTTTCAATTTTTATACCTTGTTCTTTTCAGAGAGAAATATATGTGCACAATTGGTCATTATTGAAATATTTCCAAATATTTTATTCAAATAAAACATAAATTACACATGTATATCTTTTTGTTGTTTATTTCAAAGAAATCTTCTTGTAAAATATGTGGGAAAAACCTGTTTCGTAACAAGATATTAATTAAAAATTGAAGTATACATACAAGAAATGATTCATATATTACTACGTAAGGTTTTTGTCACGTCTTAAAAGAAAAAAAATAATTATATCATGCTTCACAAATTTTTAAAACAAAATAAAAGTGTAAAGGAGTAATAAAAATCAAAACACATATCTGAGTGTGTTTTTGTTTAGTTCTTCTTCGTCCGTTCACCGCCCTCCCCCATTTCTCATCCGCTTTTCTTTTCTTATTCCATTCGCTTTCTTTATTACTTTTCTTCTTAAGTCATTCCCATATTCTTTCTCCAGTTTCCATGTTCTATACTAAACAAAAAAATTGAATGATATTTAATATTTTTTATACTACAAATTTATTTAATGTATAGATGTTACGGCTATTAATTATGGATTGAAATATTCCTAAAACTTTTAATTTTCCTTACTCAAATTAATTAAACAGGTTGTTAATTTTTTTTTAAAGACGGAAAATAACTGAGTTGAAAATAATTCACTTTCTTTGTTCTAGACGATCTCTTGTTGGGAAAGAAGGAAAGAAAGGAAAAATTCAGGAAAAGGTTCAAAAGAAAATCTAGAGAAATCCTATTTTACGCATTTTATTTTTATTTTTGCCCAATTTGTCTTTCCTGTCAGAGACTCTTGAAATTTTAATGTTTATTTTATTTTCTTGGCCGATTTTTTTGTATTTTATTTTATTAAGAATGTAACCTAAGAGAATAAACACTGGCCTAACCACCTTTTGCTTTGAAAGACTCATTTTGGACAAAAAAAATTTCTTTTAATTTAAAAATAAAATCGAAATTTTTCTTTGAGTTGGGAGTGACCGGTGGAAACGATATACAGACCTTGTTAAGAATCCTGGACACCCACATGTTAATAAAATTTGAATCATATTTCAATATTTTTAAAATTAAAGATTTTTTTTAATATCATATAAACAATGGAGGGAAAGGTTAGGTAAAATTGAAGGACAAATGTATTTTGGCTCTTAAAATAACAGGAAATACTGGGTTCCAAGAAGTCTTAAAAGATTCCTTTCAAAAGTCTGACTAACTCGTAGGTCCTGTCCCCTAGACTGTTTAGAAGAAGTCCAGGTGAGAAAATTCACCAAAGATTGTCATTTTGCGTACGGTGTGAAAGGAACCGACAAGCCATTTTGTTTTTTTTCTTTTAACAAGAACGATGAACCACAATTATTAACAAGAGTGATGTTCGATCAAAAACAATTGGTCGAATAAACGAAAATTTTAAATGCGGAAGTAAAAAATAAAGAAATGTTCGATCAATTTTAAATACAATTTACTCAAATGAATACGATCATCGACGAACCTTTGGAAGATTAAACTATATCTCTAATTGCTCGATCACCTGAAAACATTTTTTGTTGAAAAGCGGTCACCTGACATACGTCTCGAGATCTTATTAATTGATGGATATGCGCCTCCCCACCAAAATCTTGACTATGAGTTTGTGAAGTTGGGGGTTAAACAAAAGCGATAATTCTGAAGACAGAATTCATAGATTAGAAGCTTTTTAATGTTTATCTTAGTGAAACCCTGACGCCGACAGACCCACCCCAGTTTGTTGAATAATTGTCAATATAAGCATCTCCATTGTCCAGTCGACACGTTTTAAATCATAGTTTTTATTCTTTTTAAGTTGGAGTTGGTAGCTGAGTTTAAAGCAGCTGGTCATCTGTGGGCATAGAAAGATATTGGCGACGGGGGTTTAGTCGGCCAGAAATGGAATCGCCCTTTGGAGGGGCCATTAAAAAAAGTGAGGCTTAGGGGGACAAAGAGAAATGGTTGGTGTTTAGTCGAACAGAAAGAAGAGTTCATCCCCGGACGGCAGCGAGAAAAGAAAAATTCAGACAAGAAGAACTTGTCAACAGCCCACATAAAAAAGATAAGTCTATGATTGCCTGAAAGCCTGAGAAGAATTACTTTAATTATTTCAGGCAAAAGCTGTAAAGTCGATGAGAAGTTAAAGTTCAGCTCCTGAGGGCAATGAGAAGAGACCAAACTTATTACGACAGAGAGTTGCGGCTATCAGTTGAAACAAAAACTTCCACCAAGTTGAAACAGGAAAACTATCCTAATCATCCTGTTGAAATAGACGAATAAGAACCGAATACAACTCAAGTCGGAGAGAAGAATCAACTGCGAATGATTGATTGAAATAAAAGTCCCAGTGTCGAACTGAACCACATCATCAGACATACATACATGATTCTAGAAACCGCATAATTCCTCCCTGACCTTTTGATTATTGTGTGATAGAAGATTTGTTGCGATCATAGTCCACTCTTCAAAGTCGGGGAATTGAGAACAATTTTGTTTTTTATGTAACGGATTTTAAGATATTCGTTTTTGTTACCCTTTTATCAAATGAATTTTTTTCCTTTCTGTCGTGAGTTTTTATTTTATTTCGTGTTTTAGGACCCCGTCGGACTCAACTTGTATCGGCCCCCGATCCTGCTGGTCCCGTCTGTCTAAATATCTAAACACAGCGTGGGTAGACAGACCGAGATCGGTATATATATATATATATTTATATATATACCAGGTTATTGGAAGCGAGTCCGAAAGGCGAGGCTGGTGATCATCTGACCAAATATAAATTCGGCACGTTTGGACCCAGGAGGAGCGACCAGGAGGAGCGACGTTTCACCGTTGGCGCCTGCATCAGACTTTACTTCAAAGGATCCGACACTGGGCCAGGTGTGTAACCGTCACAGATGTTACGGCTATTAGTGCTGGATTGATTATTTCACCTAAAACTTGTTGAATTTCCTCCGTTGCTGAAATAAATAGACAGAGAAAAGATTATATAAGGATACGGAGACAATAGAGCGACTGTTTAGGACTGATTTTATTTCTTTCTTTTGGATTCAACGACCTCTTGTTGAGGAATTTCCTCCAAAACAGTTGGCACGTATTCAATTTCATTAAGTAGTCAAAAGGTTCAACAGAAAAGATCTAGCGTCTCCTTTTTTAAGCGTCTGCTCTTTTTCTAAAATGTCTAAACTTTTTGTGAATTTTATTTTGCACATGCGTAAATTTGACTCTTTCCTTTCAGAGGACTCTTTTGAAATTTTAATGTTTATTTTATTTTTTTTTAAAATAAAAACAAAAAATACTTTTATTTAACAACGAGTTCACACACACACACACACACACACACACACACACACACAAAGATTTGATTATAGTGGTGAAGGTTTTGTGCAGAAACATTCACACTTTTTGAAGAGCCGAATGCAAAGACCTGGTGCACTACGTGCCACAAGGTCTCCAAATGATCCTTTGCAGGTTTTGAATTCAGAGTTGTCCTTCTCCTAGACCAGTTGCCATCCAAACCTATAGAACCCTGTCTGTCCTGCTATTTACCCATAGCTGGAGGGGAAGAAGTAGATTCATACCTTTCTCGAGGGGGATTAGAATGTAATATATATATATATATATATATATATATATATATATATATGAATTCATATGATTCATCTTTAACGCATAGAAACTGAAATATTCCACACTTTGATAATAGAAATTGTCGTAAATCCGTCATTATCCTTAAAAGTTAGGACACATAAAAATGGATACATTATTTTAAGAAACATGGATAATGTACTGTAATTCAATTATATACATATGTACGTATATATATATATATATATATATATATATATATATTGGAAATTAAAACATAAATAAGAAAAAACATAAATAAGAAAAAATATAACACTGCCTCGGAAACCAATAGCAACATCAGAAGCAAAACGCCTACGAGATCGACTTTGCAACACACGGCTTCACGTTACATTTATTGGTATGAGGAATCTTACAAAGACACGGATCTTGATCAGTTGCAGAGAGGCCCGTATCTAGACATGCCAACCTGTATGGCTACTATCGGGGGAAACCCGGATGTAACTGGTGTCGATAAACTTATCTAAACTGGATCAACACAAAGCTTAATCAAGTGACATTCGTCTTAATGTTTGTGACGTTGTCCCTTGGCAATTCAGAACACGCTGTAGTAGCTGTCGCCATTTTTATGACGCCTAATAAACATGGCTCTTCCAAGGCGTCGTTACTTGACTCTTCACTTACAACTGAGTCTAAATTCTCTTATGTTAGTTCTTGGGTAGATATTTCACATTTTGAGTGTCATCTTCGCATTTACTGATGTGTCTGAATGCGTGGGGTTTATTCATTAATGATGAAGTCTTACTCACCTTGCTGGTACTGCGAACGGCAATCTGTGTCACTAAGAAGGTTTCTTCAGCAGGGCTGGAAAATTCTCCAGACTGCGTAACTTTTGTGACCGCATGCTTGGCGGAAAGGTATTCGACCTCGAGGCCAGTACTCTGTGCAGCAAAGTGGTACCACCGTCGATTAAACTGACAACTCTATGTTCTTTTGCTTATTGGGCGTTCTATGGAAATGAGAAGTTTATCGCTTACCAACTGATCTTGTGTTTTAAGCATCAGCTTAAAGGTAGATTAGGACGAGAAGGTGATTCACTCCAATGGAATTTGGCAAAAAGTCGGCGAGTCTTGTGCGTCTATTCCGGTAAAAGGAGGTAACTTAAAGTGGCATTTTGATGCCAGACAGGTATTAGGATATTGGATTTCTGTCTTGAACGTTTCAAACCCCAAAATAGGGTAGTTTACGTTTGTTCTATCCTTGTCTCTTCTGTCGATGTTAACTCAGCTAGAAAATACAAGCTCATCGCCCCCGCTTTTATTTTCCTATCTCTTTCTTTAGTTTAATTCTCCCCGCCCCCAACGTTAGGTGACAGAAATGTTGTTTCTTGCGTTGATGTTTCGCATTTCGAGTGTCCTCTGCGCATTTGCTGATGTGTCTGAATGGGTGTGTTTTTGAGTGAATGCTTGTTCGAATGATTATTAAAATGATTTAAATCCCGCATTTATTTCGTTCAGCTAAATGATGATTCTTTCACAATTAATGATTGGTGGGATTATGATTAAAATTATTTTCTTTAATTTCTTATCGAATTGTTCGCATTCTTAACATTCATTGTGGTTAATTTTTTAAAGTTTTTATTTATTTCCACTCCACAGAAAAAAAATATATATGAGAACTGTTTAGAACTTCATACAGACTCTGAATTATTACGCAGAATGTAGTAAGAATGGCAATTCAAAAATTTTTTTCCTGTTTTTCTGGTGTAAGTCTCTGATTTAGGATGTTGTTTATGTTTGGGTCAATAATCTGACTCTGGCTCTAGTAATGGGTCTTAATCTCTATCCCTTTCAGCCACTGATTGTTTAGTTTTTCAAAGTCTATGGGTGTCTGGTTCATTCTCTGACACTGTCTGCCTCTGATATTCTCTGATTGGGTGTCTAACTATTGATTGGGTCTCTGAGCCTCTGATATCAAAATGGGTCAAAATTTATATTTCCTGAAAGCCACTGATTTGGGTCTCCTGAATATTTCTGATTGATATTCATGTTCATATTCAGTCTCTGATTGGGTCTCTAGTTCAGCCTCTGATTGGGTCTCTGGTTCAGCCTCTGATTGGGTCTCTGACTCAGCCTCTGATTGGGTCTCTGACTCTGCCTCTGAGTGGGTGTCTGGTTCATTCTCTGAATGGGTCTCTGGTTCAGCCTCTGATTGGGTCTCTGACTCTGCCTCTGAGTGGGTGTCTGGTTCATTCTCTGAATGGGTCTCTGGTTCAGCCTCTGATTGGGTCTCTGAGTCAGCCGCTGATTGGGTCCCTGGTTCAGCCACTGATTGGGTCTCTGACTCAGCCTCTGATTGGGTCTCTGACTCAGCCTCTGATTGGGTCCCTGGTTCAGCCACTGATTGGGTCTCTGACTCAGCCTCTGATTGGGTCTCTGACTCTGCCTCTGAGTGGGTCTCTGGTTCATTCTCTGATTGGGTCTCTGACTCTGCCTCCGATTGGGTCTCTGACTCAGCCTCTGATTGGGTCTCTGGTTCAGCCTCGAAATTGGATCTTGATGTGATTGTTAATTTTGCCGATGTTTGCTCCAAGGTTGCTTTTTCTACTTTTGGTTGGATGAATAGTTTTGGAACTGTCAGTCTTTCCATCATGGCCTTTGATTTCGATCTGAAAATGATATAACCATATATTCTCACTATACAGTCATGTAACATTTTCTTTTGTGATGTCAAAATTTCTATTCAATGGATCATATTTCCCTCGTTTCACAATTTCGTCGCAGGTGTTCAGCACTTGATCCACTTGTATGACTTGAGTTGATAAATTTTGGAAATTTAATTTCTTTTGCCATAAAACTTGTTACCTCTTTAGCTATTTCCTTCATACGCTCCTTCCTTCCTTTGATGGATGCCCCAAAGAACGGATAGCGACCAACAATTTGCATTTGGAGTAGTGTCCTGCTTTTGTCTTCCAGTGCTTGTTCTTATAGTAGCAGAGTTCTTTTTTTCTTATGTGATTCTCGAAATCTTATGCGACCTCCGTCCATACTTTATTTCTTTCAGTGATGGAAGCAATTTTGTATGCGAAATTATGGTTAACAATGGATACTTGTATATCTTTCAGCAAATCAATCAATGTTGTTCAATAAAGAAGCTTATATACTCTAAAACAACAAAAAAAAAAACAGACCCAACACATTTTCCG